GTCACTGAATTACGTAGATGCAATGGATTCAGAACCGAAAAAAATGAGGAAATTTTTCGAGTTGCATCGAAAACGAGGCAGAACAGTACAGCCGAATAGATAGCAGTCAATCGAAGAATCAAAGCAGTGCAAACCTTTGGCATGAAAGCGATGCATGTGACGAAATCCATGTGCTGAAAGCAACAGAGGCATTCGGGACGTGAAAGATGCCATAGTTTTACTGTGCGATCCATACCAGATGAGAGGATGAAGTAGTTGCGTGACCAGGACAGATCCAGCACATCGGCAGTATGGCCTCTGTAGGTACACAATGGTTTCGGAGCAATCAGCGATGCAGTTTCTGTGGTACTTTCATCGTCACGTGACGAGGACGATCCGGCACTTCCACCAATCTGGAACAGCTTTCACATAGAAGCATAATGCTATGGCACCACAGCTGTGCATTGAAAATTAAAAGGCCAAAAACCTTTTCTGCATTTCGCTCTCAGTGAGAAGCGGAGGCATTCGAGAAGTAGTCCGAGTGGTAGCAAATGTCAACAGCAATCAGCCGCTGGCAAGACTGCTGATGGCTCCCACCTCTTCTAAAGGTTGCTTACAAGCAAGTTGATGGCGGGTTTGACTCCCAGGCATATGCCAGCAGCAATTTACCACAGAAACGAATTGTAGAGAGATTGGTTGTTCCAGCGACGGAATCTATCCTCCAACCACTGCACGACAACAGTGTTACCTCTCTGTATCATGCCTGTCGGCTCATTAAAACTAAATATTTCAAAACGGAAGTGCTAGTTATTTTACTATACTGAAGCAGAGCTGCAAAAAATATGAGTAGAGCAAGATTTCAATTTCTAATTTTCTCTATTTCATGATCCCCCAAATCATAAAGCATTAATCAGTGTAGCATGAGTTTATGCTTCTCACCCAACATTTTTTTTTTACCTATAAAATCTCTCTACTCCGTACCAGTATTTAAAAGCAATCCTGCAAACATCCAGTTTGCATATACTTCCGATACTTCAATCCACCAAATCTGGACAGCTCAGCAACTCAGTCTAATATATAAGCCACACCTCAGAGTTTGAGTCCAGGTCTAACTGCTAAGCAATGTGAAATAAATAGCAACGCGCACCGGACTAACCGGTGCGATCATGCATTTTGTGCAATTCAGCCCATCGAACGATAGCCTATTAGTGATTTTCACTGCTTTGTACTTTAGTCTATGCAAAAATAGTTAAAAAATTGGAAGGTAGTTAAAAATTTCACGCACCAGCGTATGAAAGCTGAATTCGAAATCTTGAAGAGCGAATATCTTTATCCCGAGCTAATAGTCTATCCGCCAAAATTTTCACGAGGCCGTAGGTGATGCTCAAGAGCGCGGAAACGCTGAATTTGAATAGGCAATGTTAGCGTGGGAAGGGGGTTATTACCCTAAAATTTCAGCTTTCTAGACCCCGTGGTTCCCGAGATAATAATTTACTCGTGAAAAACTTTCACGGAGCCTTGCGTGTTACCCGCGGGTACGGGGAAGCTGAATTTAAATTTGCGGGGTCACACGTGGGTGGGGAACGTTCCCTCAAATTTTCAGTTCTTGTGGTTCCCGAGTTGAAAGTTGCGGACAAGTTGCTGCGGACACACACACAAACACACACAGAAAGCCCAGTGACAATATGCGTTTTGTACTGCTGTTACACAGCACAAAACGCATAATAAATCGAGATATGATGCGCCTAAATATAGCGGAAGACATTGCAAGGTTCAAAATAAATCACACTTGACTTTTTCTTCCATCCTACTTAAAAAGCTATAAAATGAGACAGTAGCTGACCGAAATAATTATACGATAAGTTGATTGTAGCATCAAGGTTGATCTTGGATGCCAAAGTATCGAAGGGTATTGGATATAAAGCAGGAAAGAATTTGGAAAGGAGCCAAGAATGAGAAAAGACGTTTCGGTCTATTAAGTCATATACGTCTTAACTCAACACCGCGACAGGACCTTGTCAGTATGATGGTCGCAGCGCTTAATGGAAAAGAGAAATAAGAAAGAGGTAGGGAAAGATGTAAGGAAAAAAAAGGGGAGAGCTGTGATTGTAGGATAGAGGGGGGTGAGAATGGAGTGAAGAAGGAACAGATGAAAGAGAACGAGGTTAAAAAAAATTATAAAAGTAGCAAAACGCACCAGACTGGCGGTGCGATCATGCGTTTTGTGCAATTCCTCCCATCGAACGATTGTCTATTAATGATTTTCACTGCTTTGTACTTTAATCTATGCAAAAATAGTTCAAAAATTGGAAAATAGTTAAAAATTTCACGTGCCAGCGCATGAAAGCTGAATTCGAAATCTTGAAGGGTGAATATCATTCCGTGATTCCCTAGTTGATAGTTTAGCCGCCAAAATTCTCACGAGGCCGTAGGTGATACTCAAC